TGCATTTTCATTCAGATATCTAGAGGTCAGAGGTCAAGTCATCCCTTTGAAAATAGCTATGCCAGTCTTTACATCGCTAGGATTAAGCATAACTTCAGAGCGGTATTTAGCCCTCTTCCTGACTTGCTATGACATGGTTGGTAATGATGGCTGCGTTAGGTCATCTAGTTTAATATGATATCAGTATCTTCACTCCAGTTTTAAATTTTGGGCCCATTACAGCCTCTGAAGGTCAGTGTGGAGTAGAAGAGGGAGGGATAATATGGTGGACAATCAGATCGGACCTGGATGGATTTCCAAAAGATTTCTACACACATTGAAGTTCCCCTCAGGATGAATTTTAATAACTTCTGTGACTTTCCATCTGGCGCCATCATCAGGTCTACATTATAATGTGTCCAATAGTTCAGTTTAGAGCTGAAACTCCTAATCCCATCAGCCTCAGCTGCAGACTGTGTTTACAGAGCGACTTTTTAGTCTTCCGACCACTCGAAGCACCTCTACTCTACATGCCACATTCACCCTTTCACACACATACACACAGCGATGGCTGTGCAAAGCCCATTGAACAGAAACCAACTCATTCATTCACATTCACACACTGATTCACAGCATTTTGGGGTTTAGTATCTTGTAAGTATCTTAAATTCGACACGCAATGAGAGGAGCTGGGAATCGAACCAACAACCTTCCGATTAATGGACGAGCCGCACTCCCCCCACAGCCGCATGCTAACAACGCTAATCTAAGCTGTGAACATGGTAAACAATTTACCTGCTAAACAGCAGCATGTTAGCATTGCAGGCATGTTAGCATGCTGGCGTTAGCATCTAGCTAACTGTGCCAAAGTCTCACAGAGCTGCTAGCTGCAGACTGAACCTCTGTTTCCTTTTCCTGCAAACACAAACTATAAGTATCAATCATATCATAAAACTAAACTGATCTGAAGCTATGTAAATGTTTGGCGATGTGTCCACGATGCCTCTCTGCAGCCTGTTTGCAGCGGCATCAGTACAGAGCAGTCGGCGCCGAGCATTATCTGTCATTTATAGACATGCAAAAAAAACTTGTTTCCTTTTCTTCTGCAGTAGCATCTGCAACCTGCTGACTCACACTGAAACCCCACACACATTCAGACCACAGAAAGAGAGGTGGGGGTGAAAGTTGACTCCCAGTGTCTCTCTGTGTGTCTGCTTGACTTCCATCGCTGTCCTGCTGAAGTGCCCTTTACCACTACAGCAGTCCACCCCCACAATGCCCCCACTCGACACCCAGACGACAGCAGAAACATGTGCTTACAGACCAGACAGAGAACCAGTATCTGCTCATCTGAGTTCTTACTTACCACCTCCAGCCTGTTATTGATCTATCATGTGATTGTTTATTCTTTTGCAGCTTTAAAATATTTGGAGGAGTAAAACGTGGCTATAATTAGAGCAGTTTTTAAAGGATAAAAGTTTATTATTACAACTCTTTTTCTGAGCAAAACTCATAAAAAGATCCTTACTAACGAGTATTGTGTGTCTCTAAAGCTGATATATCTTATTCCTCTGCGCTGTAGAGCTGCATTGTTGTCCAAAAACACATCAAATGAGCCACAGTTGCACGGGGTCACATATTCCTTCATTACCACAAACAAACACACAGTTTTACTCAGTCTTGCATTCACCATCCTGCTGCCTCAAATAACGCTTGAAAAATGAGACTCCACCCTGTCACAAATAAAGACACAAAATACATATTTTTCTTAAAATGAAACTAATATATGTTTTGTTTTGTTCAGTTGTTAAAGTCCCTCTAAAGGCTGTTTATTGACCACACAAACACACAGCTCTGCTCTCCAACTGCCTGTGGGGGAAGCACAGCTCGAGTTCTTAGAAGTCTCACATACAGGGTTGCATTGTGGGTAAGGGCTGCAGTTACAGTAAAAGACGACTACCTGCCATTTACCAGAAGTGATGTCACCCGGAAGTGACATCACTGCTGTGGGTTAGAGGGGAGGGCGGGGGTCTGAGTTTGTGTAGCTGCAGAAAATACCCCGACCCGCCTGTGTGCATGCAGAGGATCATATCATAATAAATCATCAATTTATTTCTCATTTTGTGACTGTGGAAGTTACTCAGTAACTCAAGTGCTTTAAGCTTTACTTAAAGAGGTAGTGCACACTTAAAGATGCGTTTTGAGCTGTAAACTAAATGAGATGACTGTACAATATTGACATTCTTACCAAATATATATAAATCAGTATTACATTGGTGGAAAATGTCTCAACAAACACATCATCTATCTTTTTAAATCAGCCTGAACGTTGTAAGATGAATGCTGAGATAGAGTCGACTGTTTGGGACGACTTTAGTCATCACATTTATATAAAAATAACAGAGGAGGACGGGTCCACCCCCCACAGCCTCCACTGTGAGTGGGAGTCTGTGAAAATCCAAATGTATATATCATTCACAGGAGTTTATGCTAGTTGTTGCTAACCCTCTTCTTTTTCTATGTTGGCGTAGTGGGTTGGACTTTGTGCTTCAGACGGCTGCAGAACACCACCTGACTGCAACCTTCATCCCACAGAAACAAACACATACCACCTGACACACCCTTTAGCTTAGCTATATTAGCTTAGCTACAAACAGGCAGCACACAGAAACGTTTACAGCGTGAATGTGCTTCTAGTGACTATCCAGTGTTTTTTTTTCTCTACTATCATCTCACAACCCTTCAGATTTATCTTGTGACCACTTGGAGGGGCAGTCGGCATTTGTTTTACCCACTTCTGTATCCCCTTTGATGTAGGGGATGTAGGTGGTGTGCAGGCAGATTTCTTTCCTAGGATGGGGAAGGCATGGCACAGTTGAATGGATGAAGGAATCAGGAATACGTCTCTGAAAATGCACAATTAGGTAGTTTTCTCACCCGTCTGTGAGTCAGTATTCATGCAAAGTCTTCCCCTCTTTCTGTGGCTAATGTTAGTTTCATAATGTTCATTACTGCCTTACATCAGAGGGTAACTGACAATGTGCAGGCCACTACACTACAGGCCCATTTTTGGGTGAGCTAAATATGGAAAAGTTGTCTTAACATGTCACTGTTTATAACACAGGATGTTTATTCTTTACTGGACGGCAGCCTAAAAAAAGAATTCAGGGCATAAATTAAGAGTACGACGTAAGTTCACTGTAGATAAAGTACACAGACAAAGAGGTTCATTATTGACCTTGGAAATAGTTGTCTGTACTGCAAGTGGATCTTATGCTACAATTGTTCTTTTGTTAAAGGAGCTGACTTTGCAGCCCTGCATCCAAACAGTCCAAAACAACTTGTGGAGTTCCCCAAGGCTCCATCATTGAGCCTCTTTTATTTTAACAGTTCTGTGAATCTAAAAAGAAACCAGTCCCTCCAGGTGGTTGCAAAGTTGCAACCTCAACAATTAACGCAACATTCAACCAATCACTGTGAATTCTATTGCAAGCTTACAATCACTGTATTTTCCCATCAGTTTCACCAATCGTAGCAAAACATTAAGCCATAAAAACTACTAAAGATTTAATTCTTAATGGGACACAAGTTGCCTTTGATTTTTAATAAATAATCTGTTTCTCCTGCAATTTTCATGCAAAAAAATTAAATGTTTTAGACAAGCTGCAGTGAAATCAGCCATTTTAGGCAACAACAATCCCCCAAAAAACAAACAAAAACAAGCCTGTGAAATCTCAAGGTCCATGTAGTTTTATGGAACTCTTGTGAGCTCAGAAAAAATGTAATTTCAACATCTACAAATTTCACCACAAACTGCAGCTGAAGATCATGTGATATAATCTTGTGGTTCCTTTGGTAGAACCCTTGAGGTGAGATTGTTTTTCCTTCAGCTAAATACAGACAAAGCTGAAACATTATCTCGGTGCAATTATCTTCTCCAAAATCTTAGAGCCAAACTTTGTGCATCTTATCATCCAAAAAAAACCCAGTAAGAATCAGAAAATTAATGTTCATTCTGTTTTATTCAGCCAATCAATAAATACACAATAAATTATCAACAGCAGTAAGATTCACTATTAAATACACACCTTAAATACAAAAATAAATACATAGCAAATTAAAACATGTTAGGAAAATACAAAAATCCCTGAGTATCGTACTTCTACTACACATTAATTCAATAGTTAAAAAAAGTACGTCAGCATTAAACTATGGTCTATTTTGTACTGTAAACATCATCATTATCATGTATTCTTTTAATCAGTGCAATGGAGATGTTGGTAGAGAGACAGTCCTGTTGCTACCACTGAATAAAAAACATAACAGCTTACAAACTGCGATTCCCAGAAAGTTCTGCAATCAGAGAGCTCAAAGTCTAAATTTCTTGTTTTGTAAATGTGGTTTCTCATGTGAAAACTGTCATTTCCTTTGTAATAAACAGCTTTTACATGTTTTTAATCCATAAAAAAAGGTGAAATATTGTAAATATCACAGGTGATTTGTCAACCAATCAGGACTCTCCTGTCAATCTGGCACCGCCCACCTCTCCACCATCATCTAATCAAGAGTTTCACTCCAAAAATATTCTAAATTATACCTTTTAGGAGTTTTCCTCCTTTATTATTTTCTTATTTTTGAGGAATACTGCAATAAAATAAGATACTTTGAATCAAATTTACCATAAAAGTCATTAAATTAACAACTGTCTCGTGCAGCTTTTAAATAGGTAAATGATAAAGAAATCAAGTATTTCCAGGTGACACTGGTCGATATTGTGATTGATGAAGTGAGTAAAACTTCATGTTGAATACTGTTAGTTATCAGCTCTCTGCATCCTGCAGCGACAAACATTTGACAGGATCAAAATGCTGCGCTGTATTCAAGTATCGTAACACCGAACTTCCTTAAAAATATTACACACATTTTACAAAATCACCATTTCTACTAGGCTTAGGCTGCTGGTCGTTACAATAAATAATCTATGAAATAATCTCTTTAACAAACTCTAAATTTAAATACATTTTACTTAAATTTGCACACATTTTTTGCATTTTAGTTTTGTTGCTGTCGTTGTGCCTGTTTGTGTTTTAGCCACTCAGTTGAGACTTGAGCCGCCGCGTCTGTCGCCGCCGCCGCCGCCTCCTCTGCATCTCATCAGACAGCGAGCTCGCCTCCTCGTACAGCCATGGCAGCTCCCACAGGGCTTTGCTCTGGACGACGCGTTTATCCATCTAGAGGAGGGGAAGAGACGTTACATTAAAGCATAACACATAAAACCCTTTGTAAACCTTCCAAATAGAGCTTATCGAGGGTTTTATAGAGCAGCATTTTATATGACTTACTATTTCTCTACCTACTTAAGCGTACATAAACTCCTATAACCTTTGTGAAACAGCGCAGGAAGTTTCGAAAAAAGATTAACAAAATCAGGTGGGCAAAAAGGCTTTAAGCCCTGCATAAGCTGTAGCTAGCTCCAATACTACCCTACGCAGGTACCCCAAAAGTCCTACATAAACCTTTCATTAGGGCTTCTTAAAGCTTTATTCCATAAACCTTCAAAAAGTCCTACCTCAAGTCCAACATAACCCTCCAAAACCTTTCCAGAAGACCTTCTGGAAACCCTACATAATGCTGCATTTAGTCCTACACAAGTCCTACTTTTCATTCTACATAAATCTTTATTAGTCCTACATAAACCCCTCGTAAGCGTTTCTTTAAGCCATCCTAAACCTGCTAATAACCCTACTTTCTGGCCTACATGAGCTTTCCCTAAGCACTCTGCAACCTTTCCAAACACCTTACTTGAAGCCCCACACAAAGCTGTTTTAAACCCTACGTTTAGCCCTAAATAAACCCTTTATAAGCACTAAATAAACCCTTTATAAACCAACAATACTCTTTATTACTCTAAAGGACCTTAATTCACTTTGGTCAACCTTTGTCGACTCGTCTGAAAGGGCCTTAAGCCCAACATAAAACCCTCCATAAGCCTCAAACAGTATCACTTCTATCCGGATCAAAAAGCCGAAAGTCACATCCAAATTGATGATGAGTCTGTGTTTCTCTACCTGGATGTGTCGGAGAGCCTGCAGTTCCTTCAGAAGCATCTCCTGCTCACGGTAGCGGTGTTGTAGCGCCCGGATCTTGGTCAGGATATATTCCAGCCCCGTCCTGATATCTCCACCCGCATCAGCGGCGGCGGTGACAGAGGAGGCGGGACCGTCGTTGCTGCCGGTGGTCTGGGGACTCGGCGTGGGCAGCTGCTTCAACATCTCGCCGATCAGCTTTTCGTACGTCTCCAAAACGCCGCCCATAAACAGCCTCTTCACCTGAGAGAGAAACACACAAATACTATACTTTATTTCTAGTTTACGGATATATAACACTGATACACATAATACTGATTTTTAGAGAAATAAATTATACTATTAAAGCAGAAATTTGTACTGGTTTGACGAATTTGCACCTCCCTGGAAAAGTTAAAAAACCTTCTTACATGGTGGAAAAAATCTCTGTGGTTTGCCCACACAGGAGTTAAGTCTAAGAGTAGAGTAGGCCTAAAAGGGGAATGCCACTGTTTGATTGTGAAACATGAATGTCATAGTCCAACTTTAAACACTGAAACTCATTTGGTTGCAAGAACTCAAAGAGGTCAGAGGTCAGGAGAGTCTATTGTAGACATCGATTGTCACTCAGCAGGTTAATTGTTGCCGAGCTGTTTCACCTCAGATGAGTCACATGGGGACGCTAGACTGGAACAAATTCAAAGATCATGACTTGTAACACCTGTGTTGTCGTGGTGAGGAAAAAAACAAACTGGGAAAACCCAGAGGGGTGTGTGGCCTTTAGATCTATGCTAAAAAACAACTTTCTGTTCAACAACGTGTTCCCTGTGTGCCACCATGAACACCTAAACTTGATCAACATTCATCCTGACATTAAAATCTGACATTTTCTCATTGGTGAAATGTTTCCGGTATGTCGGATTCAAGGCCACACTGATACAGGTTCAAATAATGGACCAAAGTGGATCTAAGTGCTGCAAACTGGCAAAAAAATCTGAATTTTGTTGGTTTCTAAGTTGCCAAAACACAGCCGACCCTCAACCGCATACCAGAGAGGATTTTACTTTATATTTTCCTTTGAACGAGAACACAACATGTAGTCACACGAACCTAAAATCTTCAAACATAAACCTGAAACCGAATCAGTCCCATTCAGCACAGCATTCGAGCTAGTTAGTTTAAAACTTGATCTTATCTCACCTAGACAATATTTTGTTAATTACACAAGACTTCACAATAAACAGCAAACAACCAACTGAAGCACGCAACGTAGTAAAGATTCTTCGGGTTGGTGTTCAGTGTCTGTGTCGGTGCTCTGTACTCGAAAACCAACCATTAGAAATCTTCACATGATTGTTGGTGAAGAGTGAAAGTTTGATTTAGAGCCTGAGAATAGTTGCACAAAGGTTGCACAATGCAGAGCCAGCATGAAAAACAAACCGCACAAACCTCAACACAAACTCCAGCATGATAAAGAAACTGTTCAGTGTCAGACAGAAACCGGAGGAAAACACCAGTCGGCTGCTGACTCAGTGGTTAGCTGAAGATCAACAGGAGAACATGGAGAGTGGTCCACTGTATCTAGTGCACACTATTCCCTCCATTACTGTGCAACTTACTGCACTCTGAAGCTCTTTAACAACATTAAAACACCCTGAAAATCACCTTAATGCACCTTCATGTGCCAGGCTTTAGACAATCAGATGCTTTTTGCCCTCATCTCATCATACTGGGGGAAATAATCTTCTTCTTGAGAGACAATATCAGTACCAATCGCATTGAGCATGGAGCTGGAGTGAAGAGGGAATGAGCTTAGCTTAGCATAAAGACTGGGAACAGGGGGAAACAGGTAGCTCGGCTCTCTCCAAAGTTAAAATACACCTTTAAAACTCACTAATTAACACGTTGCATCTTGTTTTTTTTATTTGTGCACAAACAGAAATGTAAAAATGACATTAGACCAAATAAAAAGTAGTATTTCTTCTTTTATGTTTATATGGAGTCTAATATTCCAGTTTAAGACCTTTAAACCTTTGTATGTACCATGTGAACGATATATTACACTCTGGCTGCGCATCTTCACTCCATCTTGACCTGAATGCGTGGGGACGAACGTTTCTCCACTTCCAAAAAATGGCGGCTTCCGAGCTGAAACTCTTAAAGAACTGAACATACACGTCCAATTTAAGAAAGTGCACCCAGTTTGGTACCATTAGCCGGAGATGGGCGGATGGATACATCATTACTGGTTCCCCGTGAAGTCACAAATATTTCTGTTTCTGTACAAATTAGTGTTAATTAGTCGTCTGTAAAGACGTTGGTAGGCGGATTTCTTCACTTAAGATAGAGCCAGGCTAGCTGTTTTCCACCTGCATCCACTCTTTAAGCTAAGCTAACCGCTTCCTGACTCCTGTATTCAGTCGTCCTGGAGAAAGATAATTGCTTGTTGAGTTGCTTGTTGTGTTTATTATTTACCTCCATTTTGCCAGCCAGTGCTTTCCTGGAGAAGACGGGTTTCCCATCAAATCTATCGACGTTTCTAATCTTCTGCAAAAACAAAAAAAGACAAAAACATTTTTAGAACATGTCTTTCCACCTTTACAACACCAGATCAGTAATATATCATCATAAACTAAATAAAATCATTAATGATTTTAAACACTCTGATTATTGTTGATTTATAAACACAATAATCAAAGAGGTTGTAACAGAGATTATTGTTCTTATTGGTGCATTCAAAGACTCTCTGACATCTGATATATCACAGATATTTAGACTTTTACAATCTTGCTGATGTGTTTGAGGACACTCTGACATTTGAGATGTCTTTTTGTTGCAAAGCCTTTCACTGACAAGTAACTGCAGGTTGCTTTCTGCATCTGTCTCTTAGAAGTCTGAGTGTCATTGAATGAACCCCGTTCAAAAACCTGCGTTACTGTATGATGAGTGTGATATAAGTTACACAAAGTTAAGTCTAACTGATAATATTTGTAGTTAATTGACTAAAACATGACAAAAAACAACAGCAGGATATTCCTTTAAACACACATACAGTGAATGCAACATGAAACAAACTCTCTATGTGTATTTGTGCATGTGCGTGTGCATGTGTGTGTGTTTGTGGTGAGAGCATAAGTGTGTGAAAGAGACAGGAGGAAACAGAAAAGGCTTGTATCGTTATTTGAAGTACTGCACTACAAAGTACCGATACTCGGGCAGTGCTCTGGATACTCACATAGTGCTGCAGGAGGTTCTGGATGGTCTTGTTCATCTCCACATTGATGTGAGAGCTCCTGACCTGACACACAGACAGCCAGAGAAACAGACAGACCACTGCCCTCGCCATGGCAACCATTGTTATATCACCACTTGTAGTAGTTTAAGCTGTAGTCGGTTCGATTCCCTGGTGCTCCGGTGTGACCTGCTTGGGTTTTGGTCCTGTGAGAGAGCGAGCAGCGGAGCGCTTGGATGGAGAGACAGGCCGAAAACTAGGGAAAAAAAGACCCGTCTGACTGACAGCGGTGTGTCTTCTGCCGTTGATGAAGTTGTCTCAAACTGTTTGAGCTTTTTATTCATAAGTCGTGAGAGAGAGAGAGACGTAGACACACACAGGAGAGAGAGAGAGAGAGAGAGAAAGAGAGCTGAAGCGATGATCTAGGTGTGAAAACTGTGGTTGTGCTGTTTCCTTTAAATCACCAAACTTCATAGAAGTGGGTGAGGGGTCTCCCACTCATGCAAAAAATTGTCACTTTGCTGCAGAAAATGCACGTCACCCAAGTGGGTTTCACGTTGCCGGATGGGTTAACTGGTCCATCCTGGGAGTGGGCGCTGGAAGAGGGCCCTGTTGCATGCATCTCAATGGCGGTGCCAGTAGGAAGTCACTGGAAGGCTGCAGCCTGTGTCGGAAAGCATTTGATCCAGCAGAAACGTAACGGAAACCATTACAAGAACAAACCATATGACGCTCCAAAAGTTTCAGGGGAGCCCAAAATTCTTCCCTCGGAAGACCAAAACCCTAATGGCAAACACCAACGGATTAACTAATGCATACTGGTGCCAAATGGCCTTAATTGACTGACTTCCTGTGCAAACAAGCTCGTATTATAAAAAATTACTACATAGCTTTTTTACTCCAAAGAACATAATTATATATATTCCTTCTGCTAGAAACAAAATAACTGAACCTTCTGGTGGCCCAACAACACGGAAGCACACTATTACTATACATGTATGATGAGGAAAATTAGGTTTGATTGGTCTAAAGCCTAAAGAAATTTGGTGGCAACAGACTTTCTGTGTGTGTGAGGTATTTACAGGTATTTGAGAGTTAGGAGTTAATATAAAAAAAAGGTAAATCTGAGGTTTAATAGATGCAAAAAGACACATTTTATCCATCTGTTTGAAGGGCATTAAAAACCCATTCAAACTAATGGATAATGGCCCATTGAAGGAAAGGTTTCCCCCGCTGTCGGACTAATAAGATATGATATAAATATAGAATATATAGATAGAAACCTGTTGCATGTCAATAATAACAATCCCTCCATTCCCTTATTCGGCTTATTCGAGAGCCTTTTTGTACCGTTTTAGTTCAATGTGCCAAATATAGTATGATAGGAATAACTCATGGTTTGACCGATTTCCAAAATGTCCTTAGATTTGTGCTTTGGTAAGATCAGACAACACTTCCATTAAAGTAAATTCAGAATGTCAGTTGCAAGCACAAGGGGGTTAAAGAACTATTGAGGCCATTAGAGACCACTGAAACACCATCAGCCCACTGGTTCCTGCAGTTTATGCAAGAGGAAATAGTTCATTTGTTCATCAGCAAAGGCAGAATGAACATAATGGAAACTGTTATAAAACCTGAGCAATCTAACTAAATACCAGACTGTAAAAAAAATATTCCATTACACTGTAAATGTTACTTCAGTAAAAGTATAATCAGTAAAAATGTAGTTAAAGTGTTAAACTGTACTATTAAATATGATATTATTAGATTAATCTGACTCGTGCATGTAGTCGGTTGAGGTGGAGCTCTTTTTGTATCAGACTGCAACTCATTATTATCTTTTCCATTAATCCATTGATTGAATGACATCTCCACATTTCTTGTTTTATCCAACCAACAGTCCCAACCTCAAAATTATTACAAATACATTCAAATTATTGAAAGAGAAAGCAGCAAATCTTCACGTTTGAGAAGCTGGAACCATAAATTGTTCTGTCAATTTGTACTAAAATGTACAAATCATCATATTTTATAAACTCTTCATATGTTTTTTAATCAAAAATGTTAATTTGTAAAGTAACTAAAGCTGTCGAATAACTGTATTGGGCCTGGGAGGTTCTACTGGAACACTTTTCATAATCAGAGCTGCACTTTCCAGTATTTTGATTTAAACAACGGTGTGAAATATCATGTGTGTGAAATATCAACAATAAAAAAGATAATTTTCTGTAGTGTCGAACATGCAGATAATGTTCAGCTCAGCAGCTTTCTGGAGTTTCAGCTCCTAGTTTTCATTTTACATTTTCCCGGACATTTACTGTTTCTGATTCTAGTCGGCCTTCTGCAGTAACTTCCTCCTTCAAAATTAAACAGAAATCCATCTAGAACGGGGATCGGGATCGTATGCATGGCTGCCTATTTAATCAATAACTCACGTGTTGGAAAAGACTTGTTGGACTGAAGGTTCAACATGACATTCATTTTCTATAGAGGCCTGGTTCCTGGAGTTGCTGATGAGGAGGCGGCAGCACCTCCTAAAATCTGACATATTGAAACCATTCATTCATAAAAATCGTGTGTTTTTGTTGTTTAAAACAGCTGTAAATTATCCCGTCCATTCAAATTAATGCAAAAAGCCCCATAAATGTTATGCATTTAATATGATGTAATTGATTTGATGTTATAATTCATGCAACTGTGCCCCTATTATCTTTACATTCATGTTGAGAGTAACAGAGGACGCCCTTTAATTCTGCCAGCTCATGCTAGATTCCCCGTCTATGCGTGAGGTGTGTTATGCCTCATTGAACTTAGAGGAAACAGACCAAATATGAGGCTTTTTCTTGTCAGCTACACACACCTATACGCACAGAGTGACATAATTGTCTGGAAACAAATTGAAATGAACTCCCGGAGCGGCTGCGATACTGTTAATATCAGCGCAACGTATACAGAGGTGTGAAAATACCTGCGAGCTGCATCAAAGGAAACAAGAAAAGAAAGTGAAACCAGAAGAGAGTCTGTCCTTCAGAGACAGTGTTTTATTGTAAATAGGAAGGAGATTAATGGGATCTGACCAGGACCTTCGCTTTCAACACTTTTACATCAGATTAATATTTAAAGTTGCATTTTACAACAGCTGATCAATAATCCAAAACGTGTTAATTAAAGTAATAACTTTAATGCACTTGAATGTGCACAGTGACCTTAAATCATTACAAAAATGTATTTTAAATCAATTCGATTAGCTGTTTACGATCAGTTAATGTAATAATTTGCTTAATAAATAATTCAATTTAAGTGGTAACATTTGTATGAAGCATTTAAGTTGCTTTATGAATTGTGCTTAAAGTTATTTTTTCATGCTTAAACTGTTTGAGTTGAACTAACTCAGGGGTGGCCAACCAGTCAGAGAAGCGAGAGAGAATGGAAACAAAAGAGAAAGATGAAACAGTAGACGAACGAAAATAACTGCAAAATGACAAAGGACGTTCTATACAAGATGGGCACAGTATTTTATATTTTGTTCAGTCAAATTTATGTCAATTATCATGTTTTGTGTGTGAGAATTTAAGGAGTAAATATGGATGAGAAGTAAGTGGTGTGTGTGGTGTGTGTGTGTGTGTGTGCTGGTGTGTGTGGGTGGTGTGTGTGATAGAGAGAGGGAAGGGATGGGGGGATGTTATGTGTGGCAGCAGTGTTGTATGGATCGGGTGGATTAATTTGAAGTAAAACAGTAAAGCAACACCTCTCGTGGCTCTTAAGGGGCTCA